CAACTCAATTTTTCATAAAGAACCAGTGCAAGTTTTGTCCAAAATCTGACAGATTTTTGCAAGAAATCAAAGGAAAAGTCACGGAAATTTTCAGTTGGAAATGCTCAAGACTCTCTTGGTACAAGCGCAATTTGCAAATGAAAATTTGGCAACCTTTAAATGTAGTTACGTTTTTTCGTAAAAGAAACGACGATAATAGCCTAAACTCCTCGGAATGTGTGATCGTGCCGAGTGTCAGACTTGATGATTTCCTTTTGCCGTCCAATATACGTTTCATATGAAATTTCTTGAAATCCTCTCCTGACCGACAACGTAGGACGAGTGCGTACGCATATGCATGCGTACGTCGGTTCACGTTCGTCGCATGTTCGCATGCAGGAACGCGCCTCTGGAAGCAGTCCAATTTCGGAATGGGTTAAAGCACTGACCGCTATGCTGCCAACGTACACTTGCCATCTGCATTCCATAGCGCTTCGAGCAATCGATTTGCGACCAATTCCTTTGAAAAACTCCAAGCCTTATTCTGCACTGCTGAGGAAAAACGTCGTATGAGCCGCTGTGCGTTGCCAAATTTTCTCTTAGAAAATACCGATTTTCAAAAGATGTGTGACTATTTCTCCTCAAAATTTTCCACGCATTTCATTCTCAATCGGATCTAAATTATCTAAGAATTTCAAAAGAAAATATTCACAGCTCCTCTTCAACAGAACAAAGTGTGTATCAGGGTGTCTACAGGTCCGGAATTTCCGGAAAGTCCGGAAATAGTACTGATCTTTTAAGGGCGGTCCGGAAGTTCTGAAAAAGTGCGGAATTCCGCAAGAAGGTCCGGATTTTTTTTCATTTTTTGTCATTTTGGTCGCAATTTGAGCGAAAAATGCAAATGCTTGAACTTTTTCGAATTTCGTTAATTGGCGGTTCTGGCAAAGTACTGAATTTTTTTGTTGAAGGGGTACTGAATTTCTTAGGAATGTGCTGAAAAAGCACTGATTTTCGGGCAGCCTGTTTTAGTAGACACCCTGGGATCGATTCTCAATCGATCACGACCCATGTGAAAATCGCCGGGTGGGGAGCGCGAAATTTCGTCCGAATTTGGAATCCGCCCAGTCCTTGCCAAAGCAGGAACGCTGACGTTGCCAAACGGTCCGTAAAATCTCTAATTTCCTGCGTACTCTATGAAGGGTCCGAATGGAGCCGGCAGCGGGGGGTGCGTCGTCCGCGCCCGGAATTCGGATCAATGAAGAAAGCTCCGGAATCCACGTCTGGCGCGGAGAAGTGACGCAATCGCGGCGGCAGAAGTGTGGCAGGAATCCCCGCACTGCTCCCAGATACTGCTGAAAAATCAGATTTTACCCATTCAAACACGTGTAAAAGTTTTAAATTTCAACGTGGAAATTGGCAACCCTGGATTCCTGGCTCGTGCCGGCATCGAATATACCGCTGGTCGATTGTTGAATCGTCATCGATTGATCTTGATCGATAAATCCCTATCTTCTCAAGGATATAGTCCCGTTATACTGAGAGTCAAGACAATGTGAATCCATTTCTGATTGGTTCCCGTATTTTAGGCACACACAGTGCCACAAACGGGGATAAAGATTAAATTTGCACCCAATTGCAAAGATTATAATCTGGAATGGACCAAGGAATTACCGGTTCGGCAAGGAGTAAACGGAATGAGAGAAGGAACGGAGAAAGGAATTTGAGAATGGGCCGATTAAAGATTACAAAAAACGTTCAATTTCTGTAATCTTTATTCCCGTTTGTGACTCCATGAGGGGGTGTTGTCTTGACTCTCAATATAAAGGGACTCTGAACAAGGCTATTCGGACGTATTTCTGCCAAGCGGAACTGTGCGCATTATGACGTGAGCCCCAGTGGCGAGGCGTGAATGATCGATTATCGATATTTCCCCATTTGAAGCTACTGTAAAGAATCGATTATTAAGGTGTTCGTTGCGAACACCCTGTTCATCGATCATATTCTATAGGTTTAAATGGTAGATCAATCGATATATAGCAAAGCACGCCACGCCATTGGTGAGGCCTGTTATGCATACACTGGAAAAAAAAAAAAANAAAAAAAAAAAAAAAAAAAAAAAAAAAAAAAAAAAAAAAAAAAAAAACATTGGATCCAGAGTCCAGACTCTTGAAAACATTGACGAGAAAAAATACGCTTGATTCAATCAGATTTTTGCTTAAATCAAAAGGAAATCCGATTGAATCAAGAGTATTTTTTCTTGTCGATGTTTTTATAAGAGTTTGAAGTCTAGATCCAATGTGTCCCCCCCCCCCCCCCCC